ACACAGTAAAATTATATACAATAAGAACAACTATCAGGTAAGAATTGAATTTAGGGTTGGAGAGATGGCTCAGCGGTTAAGAGCACTGGCTCTTCTTCCAGAGGTCCTGAGTTCAATTCCCAGCAACCATGTGGTGGCTCACAACCATCTGTAATGAGATCTGGCACCCTCTTCTGGCCTGCAGGCATACATGCAGGCAGGACACTGTATATATAATAAATAAATAAATCTTAAAAAAAAAAAGAATTGAATTTAAAATGTCCAGGCTATCTGTATTTGGCAAATTTAGAGAAATTATTCCATTAACTATCCTATCTTGGTGAGTCCAAAGTTTTGTATCTAATTTACTTACTAACCTAATTTATATTACTAACCCAAAACTATTTTTTCAGACCTCAAAACATTTTCTTAAACAACTTAAGCTTTTATGTCTTTCAACCTTATATACTTTACACCTCTTTTGTGAGTTTTTTTTTCTGAATTTGGTAACAAGGAAAATTGTAACTATAACTATTGGATCTTTAACCCCATCAGAGACCTGAGAAGGATATAATATTACCTGAGTAAACAGGAAGTGCAGAGTAAATATCTTCCAAAACTATAGAAATGATAGAAACAGATGGCTGCCTGGACAGTCAACCAAAGTTCTTTTGCAATGGTGGGGCATCCATCTTTGGCCTACAGGCCTAGAATATCTGACAGACTTTTCTGTGAAGCAGAAATTTTGAAGGACTATCCTACCTTGTCTTGGCAGTTTGGCAGTCACTTTCTTCTGTGTCCTACTTGTCCAATTTGGACAGCATACTGTTAGAAGCCAAGGCAAGGGCAGTTTCTTGCCCAGTGGCTAGCTTTTCCACAATAAAGGCAAACTCCATATGGAGATTTTTCGATGCCCAGCATCCTTTTATGAAGTAAATTGGTGCTGCCAGGAGCAGACATGTCTCACCGTCATGAAAAGCCTTAGGTTAATACAGCCTAAATGCCATATTCTGTAGGTCTCTAAAGTGTTTGAAGATCACCTACCTATCTAAAATATATCTCTGCTGTCTTAGTTAGGGTTTCTATTGCTGTGACCAAACACTATGACCAAAAGGCAAATTGAGGAGGAAAGGATTTATATGACTTACACTTCAGCATTGCCATTAATCACTGAGGGAAGTCAGGACAGTATCTCAAACTAAGCAGGATCCTGGAGGCAGAAGTTGATGCAGAGGCCATGCAGGGGGAGCTGCTTACTGGCTTGCTTCCCATTGGCTTGCTCAGCCCACCTTCTTATAAAACCCAAGACCAGCATCCCAAAGATGGTACAACCCACCATCAGCTGGGCCCTCCTCCATTGATCACTAATTGAGAAAAATGCCATACAGCTGACTCTCATTGAGGCATTTCCTCAACTGAGGCTTCTTCCTCTAATGACTCGAACTTGTGTCAAGTTGACACAAAACCAGTCAGTACGTCTGCTTAACCTTGAAAATTTCCCTAACATGACTACAAGTTCGATTATTATAGATGACTAACTACTAACCTGTATTTCTTAATTACACATTACATTTTTAAATGAGCTGCATAGGTACAATACTTTCAACAAGAGTAGAAACATACATACAGTATAACATAACAAAAATAACCTTAAATTTGTATCAATATACAAAAATACCTTAAACAAGAGTAGAAACATATATAGGGTGTGCTCTAACAAAAATAACCTTAAATTTGTATCAATATACAAAAATTCATACCAATACAAAATATTTGAGATTAATAGTTGCTTTTTAGTTTAAAGTAGATTCAATAATCTACCCTTTTATCTCATCCTTTACATATGCCCCTTTTTCTTCTCAGAAAGAGATCCTTGAATCTAACCTCAATTGCTTAGTTTCCTCCCTTACCATGACCAGTAACAATTTGCAACCAACCCCCCTAAACAATAACAAACATCCATAATCCATTGAACAACCAAAAACCATCCATGAAACCTCTTGGGAATGTGGGCATCATCTTCTCTAGAATGCTTCCTGTTGTCTGGGAGTAATGGCATTTCTGGCAGACCTGAGAAAACTGGGACAATGGTCAAGTCCGGAAGAGCTAGCTGTATTATGTTTTGTTTAGTCTCTGTGTGATTTAAGTGTAGAGCTTATCTGAAGTCTTGACTAGAGTAGTCTGCGAGGCTGGACCATCTCAGCTTTCAAGTTGTTCTGGATATAGAATTTTGAAGAAACTGCAACAGAGGCATTCTAAGAGGCTGGATCACCCAGGCTACTTATTTGTCTTCATTGGTATCTGGGTTTATTTTTTTCTTTCTGAAAACACACAGACTTTTAAAGGTGACATATATCTGCATTAACACAAGTATGGAATGTGCAGTGTGTACAGGTCAGGTAAAGATGATTTTTTTGTTTTATGTTTGAGCAGGTAAAAAGTATCTGTCAACTTTATAAGTCTTTTTGGACTGTATAACCAAACCTCTATCCATGCCATATAAAAGGATGGCATGTAATAATAAGTCATGAGAACTCTGTAGCCAAGAAGATTTATCATGTTTCATCTAGTATCAGAACTATTCCCATTTCAAGGGATCAGCATATATGTCATATAATCTTTCATTTTTTTCTTTATGTCTGTAGCCAAAAATTTCAGGAGGTCTCCCCTAGCCAAATCTGATCTTTATTAATTTTGAAAAGAATCATAACTTTTGCTTCCTTTGGAAACAAAGGCATAACCTCTCTCCCAACACAACATATTTTCTGACTTCCATTTTGAAGTTAAGACATTCTCAAAATATATAGGTTGGTTTAATTTAGCAATTTCTATACTCTAATGTCTCTCAGCAACTATTGTTTTTTGTACATTATCATTTAAAAAATTCAAAGTCAATAAACACCATACAAGATCCAGACACCCTGTGTATTTTCCATCTTTATATGGCTATTTTTTAATTACTTTACTCTCTCTTTAAAGACTTTATTATTTTTAAACTATTTATTTTTCCTATACCCATTTTCTTTTCTTTCTTCAGCATCTAAGCACATCTTAAAACAGATTGCACCTTTTTAGAAGTTTTCTGTGTCTGGACCTGGCTTTCCCAAGCACCTGCAGCATTCTCTGGCCTTGTGAGACAAACCTTAAACTGTCATGTCAGCCACTGGGTGGCTCAGCTTAACACAAGCATCAGCAGCTAGCTCTAGCCTGCAGGCAGCAGCCAGTAGCCACACCTCTGTATGCCACCAAGAACCCACCTGCCCAAGAGACTGCAGGACTAGGAAGCCACATCCAGATCCATTTTCAGAACTTTCCTTAGCTTTATCAAGTCCTGTGTTTGGATATTCAAGCCTCCACATTGGATGCCATATGTAGATGGACTTGCTTTGCCACTGCCAGCCCCAAATAATGACACGGAGACCTATTATTAATTATGGAAGCATTGCCTTAGCTTAGGCTTGTTCCTAACTATTCTTTTTTATCTATATATTTTTATTATTAAGACATTTCTATTCATTTTACATACCAACCACAGACCCCCTCCCTCCTCTCACCCCCCAGTTTTTTCCTCCATCCTACCACCTATTCCCACCTCCTCCAAGGTAAGGCCTCCCATGGTACACTCAGCTGAGGCAGGTCCAAGGCCCTCCCCCTGCACCAAGGCTGTGTAAGGTGTCCCATCATAGGCAGTGGGCTCCAGAAAGCCTGCTTGTGCCCTAGGGATGGAATCCTGATCCCACTGCCAGGGGGCCCCTTAAGCAGATCAAGCTACATAACTGTCTCATCCATGCAGAAGGCCTAGTCCAATGCCGTGGAGTCTCCACAGCTATTGGTCCACAGTTCATGAGTTCCTACTAGTTTGATTTGGTTGTCTCTGTAGGTTTCCCCATTATGACCTTGATGCTTCTTGCTCATAGAATCCCTCTTCTCTCTCTTCAACTGGACTCCTGGAGCTCAGCCTGGTGCTTGAATGTGGATCTCTGCATCTGCTTTCATCAGTTACTGGATGAATGCTCTATGGTGACAGTTAGGGTATTCACCAGTCTGATTACCAGGGTAGGCTAGTTTAGGCACCCTCTCCACTATTGCTAGTTGTCTAAGGTGGGGTCATCCTAGTGGTTTCCTTGGGAACTTGCCTATCGCCATGACGTCTCCCTCTATCATGGTATCTCTTTCATTGCTCTTCCACTCCATCCCTGTTCCAGCTCGACCATCCTGTTCCCTTATGTTCTCATCCCCCATCCCCTACCCTCCATTGCCCCCATCATCCCCAGTTTACTCATGGAGATCTCATCCATTCCCCCTTCCCAGGGCAATCTATGTGTCCCTCTTGGGGTCCTCCTTGTTAGCTAGCCTCTCTGGAGCTGTGGGTTGTAGTCTGATTATCCTTTGCTTTACATCTAGTATCCACTTATGAGTGAGTACATACCATGTTTGTCCTTCTGAGACTGGGTTACCTCACTCAGGATATTTTCTAGTTCCATCCATTTGCCTGCAAATTTCATGATGTCATTGTTTTTCTCTGCTGAATAATACTCCACTGTGTATATGTACCACATTTTCTTTATCCATTCTTCAGTTGAAGGGCATCTAGGTTGTTTCCACGTTCTGGCTATTACAAATAGTGCTGCTATGAACATAGTTGAGCATGTATCTTTGTGGTGTGATTGAGCATTCCTTGGGTATATGAAGAGCTGGGTCCTGAGGTAGACTGATTCCCAATTGTCTGAGAAACTGCCATACTGATTTCCAAAGTGGCTGTACAACCTAACTAGTTCTTACAACTGAAATTAACCCATATTTTTAATCTTTATTCTATCACATGACTCTTTACCTCATCTCTCCATACTGCCCATCCACAACAGAGTCACATACCCAGAAATATTCTCTTGTTTTCTGAGAGGAGAAACCATGTATAGCCTGCTCAGTGTGCCCACAGGAAACTGGCAAGACATGTATGACAAATGCCTAGTCACCCAATAGGTGAGCTGATGGCAGACCAACGTAACAACACACCAGAGTACAACATGGTGAACCAATGCGTTTATTGGGGTTAATTACAGGAGAAGTGTCTCAAAGGCAGTGCATCCCTGAAAGCCCACTCCCGCATGGGCACTGGTTCACAAAAACTGCAGCTGTCACTTACTGTATCCTGGGCAGGTCATTCCACAAGTTGGAGAATGTCTCTTCCAAGCAGCTTGGCTAGTCTGTTTCCTCGGCAGTCCTTACTGCTTATATCAGCTTAGGGAGGAAGGCACATTGTACATCTGGTCAGGTTCGGGTATTTCCGAAGACTCACGTGTTCTTTACTTCCCAGGTCTGGATGAGCCTCCCATCAAAACTTCCTAAGTCTTCAGGAGCTTTGCTCCAGGATGGGATGTTTTAATACAGAAGAAATCATGACACAGCACAGCCCCTCTGGCCTGGCCCACGCTGGCATTTGTCTGGCTCTCCTAGCATGGACACAACCTCAAGGACATCAGTAGTTTCCTGCATTTGACTCAGCCCCAGCTCACAGTAAATGCTGACTGAGGAAACAGTCAACATTTCACCCACGGCCACTACTATCTTTCATGTTCCTAAATCCCCACACTGAACCTTCATCCGTGTGTATCTGACAGCCTTTGGGGTCTACTGCAGCACCTCTCGGGCTTCTGATTGTCGATACGAGTTGAGACTTGATGACTTTTGGCTGGTGAGGCCCTGTGTGCTGTAGAATGTTGTACAGTGTGAGCTCTACCCAATAAATGGAAGGAGCTCAACCACATCTTCCACAAGGTGTAAAAAATAGAATGTTCTCACACATTGTCCCATCTCCCAGGCCTGAAGGGACTCTCAAGGCAGTCTGAAGATCTTTAAAAAACTGTCAACAGCTTGTGAATCAGGAAAAATGTCTGATTCAGACCCCACTATCCGGAGAAGTGCGAGGTGGGAGCACAGCATATTCTCTACTCCTTCTCCAAGAATGCCTCTAACATCTCTCTGGCCTCTGGCTCCGAGGTGTTTTTCTATTCCCTGCATATGATTTTGCCACCTGTGGATCGGGGGTTTGCCTTCTATGAACAAGGACTCGGACTCTCTCACGGCATCTCCAGCCCTACAGTATGCCCTTGCTGTGGTCATCCCTCATACGAGCCCAGGACCCAGACACCTCCCACCATGATGCTGATGGGCCTGTTCCAGGCAGGTGAGTGGGCTTGGGAACAGGGGTTATAGGCTCTGAGTCAAGCTGAGCCTCATCTCCCCACATGGCTTCTGACGTGGAATCTATAATTCCCTATCAAAATATCAGAAACAGCAACCATTCCATTCTTTGAGCCCCACTGATCATCCTATACCATGCCTCTATTTTGCACTGTGTCTGTCTCTGGCAACTGATTCATGCAAGGATTGATAGGATAAGACTTTGGTGGCCATAATCACACTGCCCAGGGCAAATTCCACCTTTTCTCTGTGGATACCAGAGTTTCACAGGAGATAATGGCAGAAGAAAGGGGGCAGAAAAAAAAAAAAGAAGAAGAAGAGGCTTCAAATGGAACTACTGGAGCAGACGTCTGTGCATGTAGCAGGTAAGTCACAGGCTCTGGGAGGTCATAGGAGCTGTACTGGAAGGCTGGTATGGAACCCTGTCCTGGGACTGGCAAAGGGCAGAACATCAGGGGCTTACAGCACCTGGTTCCACTCTTGATCCTGCATGTCACCCTCTTACTAGCCCTCATCCACATCCCAGAAGCCCTGGAGGCTGGCTGGGCCGGGAACCTAATATTATCTGTGCTCTGGGTCTGTGAGCAGGGAATGTCTGATGTCAGCTCTCCCCACAATTCAAGATTACAACCAATCTCACCTTTCAAGAAACATTCCTTGGAGCTAGTACAACCACGGAGAAAATAATCCAGATAAATGTGTCTCTTTGGTTGCTGGGTCAGGGTTGGGGACCTGTGGTGCCTATCTGAGGTATGGCTAGCTGGGGAAAAATGCTAGCCCGCTTCTCAGGTCCTGTCTTCTCTTCCTTGGATAAGCATACAGTCCCTAGAACACGGAGGATGTGAGGGTCAGGTACCCAGTACTGGATCCCTAGTGCTAAGGGGCACAACAGAGGAGCTGAGTCCTGCTCTCATCAAACTGGTGTGATGGAAGGTTGTACAGACAGGTACATCAAGGATACATTATACAGAAGACCACTAATATGGAAACCACTAAGGTTTCCTAGTACTCAGTGGTGGAGGAAACATGCAGAAACACATACAAGTGGTGTGTGATCTCCACGCTGGATACTGGAGCTGTGAAAACATGGTCTAGTCTTAGCACCTAATGCTGAGCTTGACATACCCTTGTCTATACATGCTGTTCAAGCACTACAAGTCAAGTCTGATCTAAACATGAGCCCCACTCTACAGATCACAACAGATAATTCTAAATGTTGAGTTATTCCCTAGAGCAGAACAGCTCACTGGTGGGCTTGGAGGGGGCTAGGCTAGAAGAAAAGTGGGTACACATCTGCACAGGGCAGCTACTCCCTTCACAAAGGTAGCATGGCACTGAGTAGCTTTGGACTAGCCTCTCCTCTGTGGCATCTGCAACAGAAAAAGCTGCATGCAAGGGACTAGACTGGGCCCTGTAGTGCTCTGCATAAAAGTGAGAGGGCTGCAAAGGGAAGGACCTTGTGTCCTAAGAACAGAACACCACAGGGCCTCCTGTGGCCATTTCTGGGGGTACATGTGTCAGTTGTGGGGGCATTCCTTTAGCAAAACTATCACCCATCCAGACTTCATCTCATTTTTTTGTACCTCTTAATACAAGACAGCCCAAAGGTGAGAGAAGAGTTGGTCCAGGTCTCTTGCTCAGAAATTCCAAATGAGGGTATCTACTCCAACCTCAGCCAGGTCAGCTCTGTGGATGTCAGTGAAGAGGATCAGCCCAAATATCCTGATGTCTGAGGTTGAGCCTACAACACATAAAATCATTTTGGGTTCAGGGACCTGTTTTAGACCACTAGGTTTCTTAGTGGCTGTACCCAGCAGGACTGAATAAGAGGTTGATTGGACCATGGGCCTGGGTACCAGGTGTTTGTAAGGGTCTACACTTGACTGTAACTATCAAGGGGGAGGGCTTTTGCTCCACCCCTTGGCATTGTTATAAACAGACCTTTGGAATAAAGTTCTGGACCCATTTGGATAAGGATCCAGGCCCACTCAAGTCTATCCTGTGTTTATTCTTCATTCTTCAAGAGTCCCTGGGGTAAATAATGGTGGCGGCTGGTCCTCTACAGATGGCGCCTGAACAGAGACAAAGAAAAAGATAAAAAGGAAAAAAATAACCCTAGGACTTGGCAAAAGGATTGTGGGGGTGTTTGCAAGTGTAGGCATGCCAATAAGGAATTGAAAAATGAAGGCAATGGTATTTTATTCTCGAGTGTATAGGTAGGTGGTGAAATACCGCAAGGCTACAGCATTAGATTTCTCTCTCTCTCTCTCTCTCTCTCTCTCTTCCCTATCTATGAAAAATTAGGAAGGTAGAGTGTAGCAATATAGTGTAGGAAAAACTTAAAAGTGTAAGGTAGTGTAGAAAAAATTTACTTAAGATAAGTTAGGCAACTAGATAGAGAAACTAAGTCTTCAATCTTTTTTTTTTTGTTTTGTTTTTTGTTTTTCGAGACAGGGTTTCTCTGTGTAGCTTTGCGCCTTTCCTGGAACTCACTTGACTCACTTGGTAGCCCAGGCTGGCCTCGAACTCACAGAGATCCGCCTGGCTCTGCCTCCCGAGTGCTGGGATTAAAGGCGTGCGCCACCACCGCCCGGCAGTCTTCAATCTTCTAATGTTGGGGGCTATGAATGCAAACTGGGAAAAAATCCATCTTCTTTAAACTTAATGGGCAGGAAAAAATCTATCTTCTTTGAACTTAATGGGCAGAAATATATATATGTCTTTTTTGAGCGTATCAGGTAGAAAAAAGATTCCTATGGAAGCTTTTGGCCTGGGGTCAGCTAAAATGCTAGGTCCAAGCAGCAGAGGAAAGAGATTCCCCCTGCAGCGGGTGCAGATGGAAACAAAAATCCTCTGCTCTGCCAGCAGTGAGCAGTGCAACATTGTAACCGGGAATTAGTTCCCTCTTGGCCACAGAAGCCAAAGTTTAGAGAACAGAAGATTTGGGAAAACTTGATGGTCTTTCTTTCTCTTGGGAAAAACATAAAAAACTTAAAAGCCTTTCAGAACTTTCTGGTTTGCTTTCTGTAAGGAAAAATTAGTTTCACCTGGACGGGAAAATTCCCCTGAGGCCAGGGCCTGATGAGGCAGTTCTGGGCTCGTTTGGATAAGGATCCAGGCCCACTCAAGTCTATCCTGTGTTTTCTCTCCCCTCTATTTCCTAAGTCTCTTATCCCTCATTCTTCAAGAGTCCCTGGGATAAATAATGCCTGATGAGGCAGGGAAGCCAAGCTGCAGCTGCACTATCTGGAAGGAGCAGGGCAGGGAAAGAACAGGGAGCTATCCAGGAGAGAAGCTTTCTTTTCCATCAGAGAAAGGACCTTTCTGAAACAAATGCTTTTGGTTTGCTTCACTGACCCAGAATAAAGCCCTAAGGGTTTTGCCTCAGGCAATACGCTGCAGCCTGAGTGTGCAGACAAATGGATACAAAACTGCTCAGGAACTGGGTCAGAGAAAAGATCTAAGCATAGAGGTATACCTGTTAAATGGTGGCACAGGCATTCATTCTAAAGCAAGCTTAGGAAAGAAAAATCTCCCAGTGCAAAAGCGAAACTCTGGAAAGGGAACCAGAAAGTTTGCTAGTGTACCCGAAAGGCTTTCTGGGAAATTTAATATCAATGCAAGTTTGAAACAGTGCCTTATATGGTCTAATAGCTGTGCAAGAAATTTTTGCTAAGAGCTTCACGGCAGTTCAATACGGGAATTTCACCCTCAGCCTAAGATGAGGCTTTATGGTAGCTTTTCTGCTGTAACAGAAACGTTTGTCTGAATTACGGCACAGGGAAGCTATTATGAATTTGGGTAATAGTTAGAAACCATTTACTGCTGAGAGCACATCTCTGTGGTTCGGAATGGCTGAGAGAGCTTGGCAAGAAAGGTAACTTTGTGCGGCTTTGTTCCGAGAATGTTACAGCTCCCTAGCAACAAGTGTTACAACTCCATAACAAGAGCACTCACTAAATCCCAGTGTTGACAAATCTTGCTTCAAACTTTCAAGAACTTTTAGAATAATATCAAAGCTGACTAAACTCTGAACTTCAGAAATGATTTGCGTATTTCTGGTGTTAATAGTTTAGCTAAAAAATCTTTTCTAAGTGTTTCTACACTTGACTGTAACTAGCAAGGGGGAGGGCTTTTGCTCCACCCCTTGACATTGTTATAAATAGACCTTTGGAATAAAGTTCTGGGCTCGTTTGGATAAGGATCCAGGCCCACTCAAGTCTATCCTGTGTTTTCTCTCCCCTCTATTTCTAATTAAGTCTCTTATCCCTCATTTTTCAAGAGTCCCTGGGGTAAATAATGGTGGGGGCTGGTCTGCCACAGGGAACTGGCCCAAGAACTGCTCCTGGTATGAGTTGCCTGGTGTCTATTGCATTTCGATCTGTTGTTGAAGGCCCACATTCAGTACATAAGGTACTGTTATAAAACCATGCTCAGTCAGGATGCATCACTTAAGAACTTCCCAGGCGTGGCAATGAAAAGTCTTATCTCAGATGTGTGCTAAATGTTGACTTCTGATGGAAGGCCTTCCTACAATCAGTGCACACAAAGGGTTTCTCTTACATGTGAACTCAGTGATGCATAACTGGAGAAACTTTTATAGCCACTGTATTTTGAGGCTTCTCTGCTGTATGAAATCTCCAATGGAAGATATTTCCAAGTTGAAAATGCAGTATCAGCATGTAATAAATTTGATGATGCACCATTAGTTGCGATACATTGCTAAATAACTAACCACAGTTGCTGTGATAGTAACAATTCTCCTCAAACTTGCTATGCGTTGTGGAACAGTTTCCCACAGCAATAGCATTCCTAAGGCTTCTCTCCAATGTGGCTGCTGCCGATGACAATTCTGACTTCTACAAGAAGGGCTTTTCTCATTTGTGACAGTCTCTCCCTAGTGTGTTAAGCAATGTCTCCGCAAAGATGACCTGCTACTGAAAGCCTTCCTACATTAGGGACACACATATGGTTTCTCACCTGTGTGAACTTCCTGGTGATCTTTGAGTTGGCTCTTAGAAGTCAAGGCTTTCCCACAGTTACATTTATAAGGCTTCTCACCAGTGTGAATTCTCTGATGCATTCTGAGTACCGACTTCTGATTAAAGGCTTTCCCACACTCATTACATATGTGGTGTTTTTCTCCAGTATGAATTTTCTGCTGTAGATTGAGAGATAATTTCCAGAAGATGGTTTTCCACATTCAGAACACACGAAAGGTCTCTCCCCTGTGTGAATGCAATGTTGCACTTTCACATGGGATGTTTTACTAAATGATTTTCCACAGTCCTGACAGTTATAAGGTTTCTCCCCAACGTGAGTCTAATGATGGGATGTCAACTCTGATTTCTGGAGAAATTATTTCCCACATTTTTTACATACAAAAGGTCTATCCTTAATATGAGTCATCTTATGTGTATGGAAACCTGACCTGTCGCTAAAGGCCTTCCTATATTCTGTGCACACATAGGGTTTCTCTCCTGTGTGAATTCTTTCATGTACTTAGAGCTGGGCCTTAGCAGAGTAAGCTTTCCCACAGCCACGACATTTGCAGGGTTTCTGCCCTGTGTGAATTCGCTGGTGTGTGCTGAGGATTGACTTCTGGTTGAAGGTCTTCCCACATGCAGAACACACATAAGGTCTCTCAGAAGTATGAATTCAATTATGTATCTTCAAGTGGGTTCTATTACCAAATAACTTCCCACAGTCACAACATTCATAAGGTTTCTCCCCAGTGTGAATTCGATGATGGACCTGCAGGTGGGATTTTCGATGAAATAATCTCCCACAGTCTGGACATGAATGAGGCTTCTCCCCATTGTGAACTGGATTATGCAACAGCAGGTGGGATATACGAGTGAAACATCTCCCACAGTCAGGACATTTGTGAGGCTTCTGCTCTCTTATGTGAGTTCCTTGATGGGATGTCAACTCATATCTCTTGAGGAAGGCTATCCCACATGGGTGACAGATAGCCGGTCTCTCCTTAGTGTGTGTGATCTGGTGTTTATGAAAAGCTGACCTGCCACTGAAGACCTTTCCACATTTAGTGCACTCAAGGGGTTTCTCTGGAGACTGACTTCCATGTTGCTGAAGTGGTTGTTCATGATTAGTTTTTCCAAACTGATTATCTTTGTATGCTTTCTCCCTTTGAGCAAGCTTACATTCAGTATTACAAGAGCCTTGTGTGCAGAGTGGAGCAGATGCAATAGTGTCATTAAGCTGTTTGGTGATGCTGTTTTGATTCTGACCATTTGCTTCTAGGTTAGGGTCAAATCCTTTTGCAAATGAACATTTTGGAAGTCCTTCTTGTTAGGAACAAAAGCAATGGTTTCCCCAAACTCTTTACATTCACATAGGCTGTCTGTGCTCAGTATTTTCATGTTTAAGAAGGTATCAGGACTCAAATGTGGGATATGATTTTGCTAATCTCTCTTTGTAGGGCCAATATCCTGCCACAGCTCTTGTAAAACCGAATACCATGAAGCGCCTCTTGTGACTTCCCTTGCTGTATCATTTTGAACTGAAACTTTCTCAGAAACTTCCTGTGATGGAGTGTCAAGCCCAGATTCCCCTCTAGGAAGAGAAAGAAATGAAGAAGTCGGCACAATAACAGGATGGAGAAGGAATCACATAGAATGAATACAGAAAAATCTGAGTCAGATACTAATGATGCTGCTGCTGATAACAATGAGTAGAGCATCCCACAACCTGTGCTGTATGTCAGACACTCGTCTTTACAGCACCCAGCAAGTGTTAGGCGACTATGCTATGGACATATCAGCTATGGCAACTATACCCACTCTTACTTTTTAAGAGGTTAAAAAACTGAAGAATAGACTGCTTTGGGGAGTGGCCAAAATCACCTTGCTCCTCTGCAAGGAAGATCAGGTTTGGAGAAAGGCGACCAAGTCAACTTTATAGAAAGGACACGGATTCTTAGATGTAGTAGGGAAAGTAAGGCAGGAAAAAGACAAGTACAGGGTACTCTTAGAACAGAACCAAGGGTGAAGCAGGGGGTCACAGCAGAGGATTTCATCAGCTGTGGAGAAATGCAAATTAATATCCTTTATCCATTTCACATGCTTATGATTTTTGTTGCATTTTTTCCTTCTTTTGTCCTGTGTTGTTGAGAATTGATCCCATGGTCTTCTCATGCTACAGCCACTCTATCCTTAGGATCCAGACCCTTAAAGTTTCATTATTTTATTTGTTTATATTTTTAGATAAGATCTCATGTAGTGTAGGTTAGTTTTAAATTAAATGTGTGCTGAGGGTAACCTTGAACTTCTGGTCCTCCTGCCTCCACCTCCAAAGTATTGCCATTACAGAAGTAATTGAATGCCCAGCTACACCTTCACTCTTAAACAGAAACTTCACACATATTTTGGTTTTGCTTATGCTCTTGATCTTACATTATGTATCCCCAGACATATGCTTAGAGTGTCTCTAACTTTTTATGTCTAATGTAACCTATCAGCGCCATGCTGAAAAGCTTTTCTGTAACTCTTTTTTTTTTTTTTTAAATATTTATTTATTTATCATGTACACAGCGTTCTGTCTGCATATATTCCTGCAGGCCAGAAGAGGGCACCAGATCTCGTTACAGGTGGTTGTGAGCCACCATGTGGTTGCTGGGAATTGAACTCAGGACCTCTGGAAGAGCAGTCAATGCGCTTTACCTCTGAGCCATCTCTCCAGCCCCCGTAACTCTTATTTAAGAGTTATTCTAAACAGTTTCCTCATATTCCCTACCCACAACTAAATTTGCTTTGTCTGCTCCTTTGTTCCAGTTCAAAACAGCTTCATGGAGCAGTACCCACAACTGTGTGTTGAAAACCAACTTCCAGTGTCACCTAACATCTAGGGTAAGATCACTGTGTCTACATTTCAAAAGCAATTGCTCTCCAGACCTTCATGTTGGCTTGTATTTCAGGCAGCCCTTCATGAAACAGAACAACGGTACCAAGGTTAATGTTCTTCCCATTTCAGGCTACCATTAGTTGGATTAGAATTTCTTCCTTTGAGTTTCTATAAACAGATATTGAAAATCTCCTTCTATAGTAGGTAAAAATATTATTTTCTGCCTACCTTTGGAAATTCATTTCTATTTATCTATCTATCTATCTATCTATCTATCTATCTATCTATCTATCCATCCATCCATCCATCCATCCATGCATCTATCTATCTACCACCCGTCCATCCATCCATCCATCCATCCATCCATCCATGCATCTATCTACCATCTATCCGTCTGTCCATCCATTCACCCATCCATCCATCTATTCATCCACCCATCTATCTATCCAAAAACAGTGTCCTCAGGCTTAACATCAATGTGACAAAAGTTAAAGTCCAGTGAGATTCCGTCTCAGAAAGTAAGGGGGGGAGGATAGGAAGACGGCTCAGCAGCCTGACATCCTGAGTTTGATCCCCAGGATCCAAATGGTGAAAGGAGAGAACCAACTTTTGTAAGCTATCTCTAAATTCCACACATGAGCCTTTGGCATTCTTGTATACACACACATACACACACACACACACACACACACACACACACACACACACTAAAGAAGGAGGTTGTCTTGTGGGAATGGTTTTCCAAGCAACTAAATATAGTAGCAGATACAGTGTCAGCACCAGGACTGCAGAAATGAACACAGGAATCATCACAATACAATTTTGATGTTCAGTGTGATTGGGTCCTTTGAAGCAATTCCCACAGGAAGGCATGGCCATAGGGACATTCGGGAAAATGAAAGATCCAGTACAGAAAAGAGCATCAGTGAATGTAAGAAAAAAATGAACAAGACAAAACTTTATGGCCACAAAATGATAAAATAATGTAAAAAGCATGCACAAATGGGAAACTGAGTCAGTTGACATAAAATGAGGTGCTCTCTTAGAAAAATAAAATTAGAAAAACAAGGCCTATTTATATATCACATGGGTGATACGTAAACCAATGTGCCTGCTGTCCAAGGTGACTGACAAGATGTGCAAACACCTTCTGTGTTTGTGCATGAGGCTGTTCGTGGACCACAAGGAGGATAAGGTTGAGTTAATCAACTCAGGAACCCTGACCTCCATAAAGAAGATGGTTGGTCTTTTTTTTTTTTTTTTTTTTTTAAACAGGGTTTCTCTGTGTAGTTTTGGTGCCTGTCCTAGATCTTGCTCTGTAGACCAGGCTGGCCTTGAACTCACAGAGATCTACCTGGCTCTGCCTCCCCAGTGCTGGGATTAAAGACGTGCACCACTGTTGCCTGGCTGCTGACTAGTTCTTAATGTCCACTTCTGACTGAGTTTTACAGCGGCCCCACATCTGTATTTATGGAGTACCTAGGAGTCTGGGGGTTTAGCTACGTCTGGCATAGGATATCTGAGGGAAAAAAAATTTATGTACACTATGTTCTTATGTCTGTTAACTTCACTCCTCTAAGACAGATACAATTCTATCAATACAGCTATAGCTCCGACAGGCATTTAAGTCAGAAATAACTCTAGGTACACCAAGCTCTATATCTGACTACTATATTTCTCTGGGGTGAAATCCTGTTTCCATAGCTTCAGTTCCGTCCAGGTCCGTAGCTCACAGTCCTGCTAACAACTAAACTCTTACGCTACCAGCCTCATCTTCGTCCTCTGTATCCTCTTTCTCCATCTCTGCTACTCTCTACTCCTGGCACTCAGAAAACTCTACCTGAGATCTGCTTACCCTCTAAGGAACCTCTGTCTTCCTCTCTTCTCTCTCGCCATGCTGTTCTGTTTCTACAGAAAATGCCTGCCCTTTCATTCCCTGGGCAGGAGGTTCTCTGCCTCCTCAGGAATGTTATTCTACCTCTCACCTTGATATGTAAAAACCTTTTTTGCTCTCAGTCAGTTGCTCTGGAGAGCCACTAGGCCTCAGGTCCGGGGGATGGTCTGAGCTTCATTTGCACAAGAAGCAAAGCTGTGCATCTCCAGCCAGCTTGTCTTTGCTGTGACCTTATCCAAGCTCTGGCTCCAGCAGGGAAGTTACCTAGAAATTCAATGGGTCTGAAAATATTTGGCCACGCAAGAATTTCATAGTAGAAGACAGCTGAAATATTAAAGGCTGGATAGCACCAAATATTCATAATAAATGGCTTGCCTCTTGACAGACCCTTGGCTGGTCAAGGTATAGCTTTAATACACAGCTGAATCTCTATGATATATTCTTGTGGCCCACAAGATGTAGTTATAATATAATGCATCTGGCACCGATTGTAGATTTTGGAAGTAGGAAACAACCTCCATGCCCATTGGGCAAGAAAGTAGGCTGATAATGGCCCCAGAACACTAATCCACCTCTACCTGGGTGATGGTCACTCACTTTGACACCTCTGGTTTGCGAACTCAGCCTTCACCATCTGTGCTTCCTTTCCTTTCTTAATCCTAAAGATGACCTCTGCACTGGGAATGGCATACCCTATGAATTGGAAGGATATCAGACTTTTAAAAATTATTTCTTTACCAGGAGCTTCTTGGGTTCTAGCTTATCCAATGAAGTCACCATTTCCCACTGAACCTAATGTAACATTTAGGTACCCAAAAGGAATTACACTTCAGGACTACCTAGGCAAAAATCATTAAATACTTCTGATGGCCCACCATGTTTGGCAAAGGGAAGGAAGGAAATCCTCAATGGAGCCCATCCTGGACCCCCAGGCCAGCTGTGCTCACCCACTGCCAAGAGGTAGCTGTAGATCTCCAGCATCACGTCCTGGTACAGGCATCTCTGGGCAGAGTTCAGCTGCTGCCACTCCTCCTGGCTGAAGTTCACAGTCACATCATCAAATGACACCAATCTCTGTAACATAAATGATGCGTAAATCATTGAGGATTAGGGCATGGCATGCAGGGCTGGGCTGGTAGTGACTATTCACCAGGATGCATCATTAGGCTTCTTATAAACACCCATTTCATATTCTACTCTTGGGATGAAGGAAGCTTACTTTAAAAAAACAAAAGTCTTGCTATTATATATTCAAGTTATTTTCCTTTTGAAGGATGCCAGACACAATTCCCTCTAAACTTTAACACAGTACAAACAGCATGACATTTGTTAAGTAGCATTACACAGGCTGTATCTGTGCCTAGTCATTGGGATCCAGTGTTACATGAGCTTCTTTTCTCAAGAAACTCAGAAACTTGCAAAAACAGGATATGCATGGGCTGGAGAGATGGCTCAACGAATTTTTAATTGTTGGGTAGCTGTTATTTTTCTGGACTGAGATTCAGCTGGGGAGTGAGGATGAGGCAAGGAGAATCTTCAGTAATGCCGCTCTCGACAGCTGCACAGGAAACCGTGGGGTCTTTTTAGCCGTCATTCCTCTTCCCCAATGCTGAGAAGGGGCTTTTCTTCAGTGAAACAGCTGCCCAAGTTGCCACAGTAACCCCTAAGTAACCACAACAAACTCACTGGCCTGCCAAGCTGTACTTGAAAAATTCCTTTGGTCGGTAGTTGCCTTCTTCAGTTGGGGTGTAGAAAAATGGACTCCACAGGAAGTCATTGGGCACATGGACAAATCTAAATGAAGAACCCAAGAGGTAGCACAATCAGCATGCAATGATAAGATAAGATGGGAGGAGAATCTGACTCCTGTGGTCCACTAAACCACTTCAGAAACTGGGAGCCCAGGACCTGCTGCCTCCAGTGTCTGGCTCTAGCTCTGGAGATCTGGGAACCTGGGAAAGGTCCCGCTTACCTCACATGACCCATCCTGCTCCTGTGCTCCCAGTATCTAGGGTTCTTGGGAGAATTTCACATCAGCAGACATGTCTTCACTGGTTTCCACTCTTGGTGTCTCTTCCTAGAAGACCTGATTTCCACAAGAGCTGGAAGCTGGGTGGGCAATTAGAGGTTCTAAGCAGAGCTGCTGGGCAGAGGTCAGCTGTGATATCACCCGAGTACTGCAGTCTGGATGATGTGGCATGACCATAGATCTGCAGAGACACTGGAAAGTCCTGGGAAGTCAATGGCCATGTGACCACTGATCTAACATCGAACTCTCAGCATCCAAGTGAAGGTCGCTATGTAGACTTGCCAAAGCAGGCTCTGGAGGGTCCTACTCTTGTCATCAGAGTCTAACTTGGTTATTACCAAAGTAAGGATGCAGGTGATGTTCACTAGCACTGGATGGGAGTCTGATGAAGGATAAGGCTCAAGACCAGGCACTTGCCTGGCACATGGCAAATATGCATCCAAACCAGCAAGTTGCCAACTTCATTTCTATTTAAATTTTACATGACCATTTCAGTCATATAGAATAACCTTTAGTATTGAGGCTGGATGCTATTCCTTAATTTGCCCGATGGTCACTGAGTAGAAGAGCAGGCAGGGATCAGTATCACATGACTGTTCCCACTGACTCATGTGGTCAGCACTTGAAAGAGCCTTTTGTTGTTCCTCTTGACTTAGAAGCTCAGGGGGGCAATAGACATTTCTGGTTCCTATTTCATTTCCAGACTAGTTCTGTGTCCATCCATGACATGCCACACAGCCTATTCTTTTCTGACACATCACTTCAATCCACAGACCCAGTCTCTTCCGTGGTTTGGAGAACATGTACTTGTGCACCTGGGCCTCTATTCATAGGCCACAGGATGCCTGCCCATAAGGAGTGGCCTCGACTACACCAGAATGCAGACATTGACACCAATAGCGTTCGGTATCCTCTGATCACCACAAAACTCTAGTTTCACCTTCCAGTCATTGAGGTCTCTTAGGCTCCTGAAAATGTCACTACCTTGAAAGTCAACAGACATTTCCCAAAGAATCTAATTTACTGGTTTCCTGAGACTCAGTCCCAAACATAGCTCAAATAACGTGTCCCAGTATGGAAGCAGCATCATTCTGGTCACCTGTCAATCACAGACACCATGTCCATGGGGTCAGAAGGTCTTAGGACAGTACATGTCCTAAGAATACAAGCAGGGACTAAAGTTTTGTTTTTACTCCTCTTTTGAAATAGCCTTCTGGGATAGGAAAGCCCTGGCACCTGCACAAAGCACCACGCCCAGCTCTGCGGGCTGGAGTCCAGAGGCAAATGTACGTGTGCTTATGTCCTGGCTCTTGTCCTATCCTTCTGTAACTTTTACCTCTGGAATGGAAAAAAGCATAAACAAAAACACTGAAAATGGCTATCTTTTCAGTTCTGGCCCAAACTGTGAATAAATTAGTTTTCCCATTTTTATCTTTATGCTATTTTTCTCTTCCTGTGGCCAGTGTTTGTCCCAAAGCCAGGATTCACGGCCGAGTCTCCAATCACACTCTCAGGCTAGAAAGCACTGCAGTTGCTCCACCGCATCCCTCAGCAACCCTACTCTCCCGACTCCCACAGGACTCCCACCCCAGCTCAACCACAGAATCCCCCTGCAGCCACTTCAGCACAAACCAGTGCTCAGCAGGACAGCATCCTCACTGCGCCGCCACCGCTCACTGGACACTGCGACTCACGACTCAGAGAGCTGCACACTGCACACCGGCCGCCCCCACCCCGACTTCCGCCCACGGATGCTAGGGAATCCCCGATGTAATATTCCAAATTCCCTCCGTGTCCAGAGACACCAATGCAGACCCTCCTAGGGAACTAAACGGAAACAGTCTTCCCTGCCACTTCCGGTTTCCGTTCCAGTTGCATCTGGATCTCTCCCCTGAGAAGTGAATAAGGTTTATGCCCTCTAACGTTAGTTGTGATGTGCCAGTCCTTACGAGTACTGTTACCTCAGTACTTATGAGTACTGTTACCTCAGTCCTTACGAGTACTGTTACCTCAGGTAGTGTCATGGTGGCACCCATAGGATCATGATACTGGAGGATAGAATTAAGGGTTTTTCACTCAGTGCAACTGAGGGAGGGATGGGAAAATGAAAGGAAAAGTCTGAGGCTGCACCACACTGACAGGCCATTTCTTAATACTGTGTGCATTAACCTATTTCTAACTTAAACTGACATCGCATATTTTCAGTATAATTTATCTGCTTTGGTTTTCAGAGGCAATCATCCGTTCCTAGTTTCCCCTTTCTATAATTACAGACATCTGGCTCCACACTGAACATATTCTGAAAAATACCCTCTGTGTGTATTTTTTTTCCTTTTAAGTTATTTAGGTGTGTGTGTGTGTGTGTGTGTGTGTGTGTGTGTGTGTGTGTCTGAGTGTATGCCATGGATGTGCAAGATGTCTAAGAAGACTAGAAAGGGGAGTTAGAGTCCTTGGAACTGGAGTTACAGGTATCTGTGAGCTACCTGGTGTGATGTTTGCTGCAGACAGCATAGCTCAGTCCATGAAAGAAGACTTGGAGCTGGCAATGTGAATTTTCAGCAGGAGAGGCTGTAAAGTGTTGTCAACAGCCTTGTATGAGAAAGAAACATCCTGCATCTAAGAGCACCCTTGAGACACTGACAGAGGAAAATAGTCTGTACAACAGACACGTCCACCTCAAGGTTCAGGGAAGATGCTGTTTATTAAGATGTTCAGGCCGGGCGGTGGTGGCGCACGCCTTTAATCCCAGCACTCGGGAGGCAGAGCCAGGCGGATCTCTGTGAGTTCGAGGCCAGCCTGGACTACCAAGTGAGTTCCAGGAAAGGCGCAAAGCTACACAGAGAAACCCTGTCTCGAAAAACCAAAAAAAAAAAAAAAAAAGATGTTCAGGCCTTTTAAGTTTCCATATAGTTTTCTATCCATACTTCCTTGTTTTTGTTTTCCCTGGTAATCTATTAAACAAAACATTCTGTTAGCTGTAAACATTGTTTAATCATTGTATAGTATCTTTACATGTAATTGTCTCTAGTAAAACAGCACTGGATATACTCTGGATCCTTAGAGCTTCTCCAATGCTCTTTGGGTCTCTAGCCTCCCATGGGGAAAATCTATATTGCAGACCCTGAATCTTTGATTTATGGACCTAGCTCCACTAAAGATCCAGAGTGCAAAATAGAAATGGAAGAAGGCACATTTCTTTTTTTTTTTTTTTTTGGTTTTTCGAGACAGGGTTTCTCTGTGTAGCTTTGCGCCTTTCCTGGAACTCACTTGGTAGCCCAGGCTGGCCTCGAACTCACAGAGATCCGCCTGGCTCTGCCTCCCGAGTGCTGGGATTAAAGGCGTGCGCCACCACCGCCCGGCGAAGGCACATTTCTTAATTCTTTTTATGAAGGCACTATACCAAAAACACATAGACTCAATAAAAAAGAAAATTATATATCAATATCCCTTATGAACACAGATACAGAAATTCTTAATACTTACAAATTGAATTCAAGAACATATCAAGAAGATATGATAAATTTGGCTTATTTGAAGATATGAACAATTTCACTATGATCAATTTGACTTCCTTCCAGAGATGCAGGGATGGTTCAACACACTTAAATCAATAAATGCAATCCACCACATAAACAGATTAAGAAAAAAAACACACATAATCATCTCATTAAATTCAGAAAATTCCTTTGACAAAATCCAACATTCTTTCATGATAAAGTCCCAGAGAGTCTGGGGATATAAAGGACAGCAAACCCACAGCTAATATTATCCTAAATGGAGAGAAACTCAAAGCATGTTCATTAAAATCGGGAACAAAACAGCGTCCACATTCTTTCCACAGCAATTCAAATGATACTTGAAGTTTTAGCTAGAGCAATAAGACAACTGAAGATCAAAGGGGTACAGACAGGAAAGGAAGAAGTCAAAGCATCCTTATCTGCAGATATGATTGTATACATAAAAGACCCTGAACACTCCACCAGGAGACTTCTACAGCTGATAAACACTTACAGAAAAGTGGAAGGATACAAAATTAACGTACAAAACAAGTAGTGTTCCTATACACAAAATGACAAACATACCTGAGAAAGAAATTAGGAAAACAGAATGCCTCAAACAAACAAACAACTTGTGATAACTCTAACAAAGCAGGTGAAACTTCAAAAAAGAAATTAAGGAAGATATTGGAAGATAGAAAGAATGGATCAATAAGATTAATATTGTGAAAATGGCATCCTACCAAAAGCAGTCTACAGATTCAACACAATCTCCATCAAAATTCCAACATAACTCTTCACAAAAATTGAAAGAAAAATAATCTTAAACTTCATATGGTAACACAGGAGAAAAACAAAACAAAAAAACAAACAAACAAAAAACAGGATAGCTAACAATCCTGAATAATAGAAGAATTGCTGGAGGTATCACTATTCCAGATTTCAAGCTGTACTTCAGAGCTATTGTAATAAAAACAGCATGGTATTGGCATGAAAACAGGCATGCTGATCAATAGAACTGAGTTGAAGACCCGGATATAATCCCACACACATGCAGACAGATACCTGATTTGATAACCCAAAAATACACTTTGGAGAAAAGACAGCATCTTCAACAAATGGTGCTGGTCAAACTGGATATTTCACGGAGAAGAATGACAGTAGATCCATATCTATCACTCTGCACAAAACTCCAAATGGATCACGGGCCTCAACATAAACCAGATACCCTGAATTTGACCAAAGAGAAAGTGCAGATAGGCTTGATTTCATTGGCCCAGGGAAGGACTTTCTAAACAGGACACTGGTAACACGGACATTAAGACCAACAATAAATGGGACATCATGAGACTAAAAAACTTTTGTACAGCAAAAGACACTGTCATTTGGACAAAACAACAGTCTATAGGATAAGGAAAAATCTTTAACAATTTTATATATATATATGTGTGTGTGTGGGTGTGTGTGTGTGTGTGTTAGTATCTAGAATATACAAACAACAACAGCAAAAATCCAGTAAACAGCCGGGCGGTGGTGGCGCACGCCTTTAATCCCAGCACTCGGGAGGCAGAGGCCGGCGGATCTCTGTGAGTTCAAGGCCAGCCTAGGCTACCAAGTGAGTTCCAGGAAAGGCGCAAAGCTACACAGAGAAACCCTGTCTCAAAAAACCAAAAAAAAAAAAAAAATCCAGTAAACAAATAATCCAATTAAAAAAAGAAGTTGGGTGGTTAGGGAAACTTGCTGCTATTGCGGAAGACCCAAGTTCAGTTCCCATTATTCACATGGTGGATCTCAACTATCTGTAATTCCAGTTCCAGATCTGATGCCCTCTTCTGGCCTTTGTGCATATACATATATGCAGGCAAACACTCATAAAACATAAGCTAAGAAGTCATGACAGTGATCTCCAGTGAAATGCTGGACTGTTTTGACTTACCAAGATGTGAACAATGTCTATTTATCCCAGATAGGGCACTGACAACAGGCCAAAGTCATGATTCCACAAAGTCCAATCAGTGAACCAATGAAGTAATGGGCTTACTGGAGTATGAATGAGAGGTTCTTTAGAAAGGCTCACACAACTCAAAAGCAGCTGCATCAACAGAAAGTCCAGCCCATCATGGATGATGACTGCATCCATGGAGCTCCCTATCAACTTGTAGGCAGCTTTATGATCAGAGACCCTCTCATGCCCAGCAGTAATTACGACTTCATAACCTTGAGGAGAGGCCTTTATAAACCTCACGTTTTGGTAACATCTTGAGACTTGTGAATTGTTTGCTCCTGGCATCTTTTAAATATGGTGTTGGTGTGGGTATGCACACTTGAGTGCAGATTTAAAGATATTTGTGAGCTACCTGATGTAGAATGCTGGGAATCAAACTCAAGTCCTCTGGAAGAACAGGAAATGTTTGCAACCACTAAGCCTCCTTCCAGGACAGAATGTTTCAATTTAGAGAAAAATGCAACACAAGAGACCCCAACTCTGTGGATATCTGATTTCATTCTGCCAAAGAAATATGTAAAAATAGTCTTGGATCTATGCCCATAAATGTGTGTCATTGACATCAAATAACCAAAAAGTAGCTGGATCACATCTTTTTAAATTTCGACAATTCTGGACAATTGTCAGTTCTCAACAGGGTTCTCGCCTGCTGTTTTGCCTTTCTATACCAGGATTAAATGCATAGACAAGCAGTGAGCCATACCACAGTCCCTGCAAACTCTTTAGATCTTTGTCAGTATCACATGAAAACTGTAGTCTCCTTGCAACTTGTAGTTATAGATACATATTTTCATTTAAGAGGAAATTCATGACAAATTCGCCAGCGACCACTACCACATAATAATGGTCACTATGCAACTCCAGAATACTTTCACTCCCTGGAAAGAAACCCTGCACTCAACCCATGATACTGTCTTTCTCTGTTCTGTGGCAGCCACTGAACCTGCTGTAGTATGTGTATTTGCCTCTTTGGGACTCTGCACAGAAGTGAAGCATTTAAAAACAAAGTAGTCTTTTGGCTGTCTGCCCTTACCTATTATTTTCAGGGTTTGGCCTCACCTGAAAATGCACCATAGAGATCCTGGTCAACAGGGTCTCTATCACTTGGACTTCCCTGTTCCCAACGCTCTTACTCTTAACTGCTCTTGCAGGTCTCCCTTAAGGGTTGTCAGCCACATGCCTCACTCACTACTGAGGACTGTTTTCTCCATTGAACACCGGGACTGGGATGAGGCTGATGGCATTGTGGCCATGCACAGGGCCCTATTCTAAAGAGCCTAAAATAGATGCTGAAGTTCAATGATGGTGACAGGGGTGTAAGACATGGGAGAGGTATCTAAGCATCCATCCATCCTTAAATGCCAGACCATACTCACACAAATGAATGTGCAAACATGTTTAGGCATGACAGATACATGTGTGTCACTTGCTTTCTGGCACTTAAAAAATTAGTTATCTTACAACACAGGGAAACAATTGCTACAACTTCCCACAAACTTTGCAATGCCTTAAGTAATTTACAGAGACTCATCCCAAATCATTTTTCAAGATTTCTTTGTGTGACAAATAGTCCTTTAAAAGTCTAACACAGAGGCAGGGAGATGGCTGTTAGTAAAGCCTTTGTCTCATGAGCACAATGACCTGCATTTGGTCCCACAGAACTTAGGTGAAAGGCCAGGGATAATGACCCGTTTATATTCCCAGCGATGCTGAGATGGGAGTTGAAAACAAGTGGTCCTGAGAGCTCACTGGCCACCTAGAGTGGACTACTTGGGGAGGGTCCAGGCCAGTAAGAAACCTTGTCTCAATCAAAACGGCACTTGAGGTAGCCTCCAGACATCTTCACTTGTATAGACACATGCCTGAAATTAACGGCCATCAGCGGTGATCACATTTAAGATACCTCTGAAGTTGGGCCTGCTGTCTTTTTAATGTTCTTTCATAGGAGAAGTGTAGAGGGCCATTGATCCCTCACCTAGTATCTCAATTACTCCCCACTGCCGGTTTGAGTCTTGTAGCCTCATGGTTTTGGAAGATGCTGAAGTATAGACTATGGTAGATTAATTGAAGGGATGTCATCTATGCAGTTATGGGGAAGTTGTCATCTATGCTGGAGTGAACTTTTAAGTAGTGTAGCTGCTTTGGGGTCACCTAGGCTCCTGAAAGTATCCCTCATGTTCTGTAAGTATGCTCAATAAACTCACTGATTCCCTAAGTTGGGCTTTGGTGGAATTCTTGGGAGGAGGCAGAAACCTGTCTTCTCAAGAAAAAGAGTTCTCATAGTACACAAGAACATCCACAAATACGTGCACCCAGAGGCATGCACACACATAAACATAAGTGTGTGCACATGGATATTTGTGCTTGTCCTTACAAATCTTTATTCTTCTCCTCAGGTATAATAATTTGTGAATTTAAAATAAGCAATGGATAGCTATAATTAGGTCTCTTTATTTAAATTAAAAACATGGATAAGACCCAAAGCTGCAGGATCTCTATGACACAGGGCAACAACAGGATGTCCAAGAGGAGTCCCAGTGAGGGCCCAGCATCAATAGTGTAGTGGAAACCAGAGGCTTTGAACCAGACCAATGAACACTTGCAAGTAAAGATATATGGACAAAGGGGTTTACTGTGTGACTCACTGTGTCACACTGCAGCTTCCATGGCAAGATTTTTCTTTAAATTTTATTTATTTGGGGGGCTGGGTGGGCGTTGCAAGGGCAGAGGGTGGATAAAAAAGGGAGGGAAATGAATAAGATTGAGATGCATGATGTAAAAGACACAAAGAATTGTTGTGGATATTCCTTTACACTGTGTGAAGATGTCACTGTGATTGGTGTAATAAAAAGATGAATGGTCAATAGCTAGGCAGGATTTCCAGGGACAGAGGATAATACAAGAAGGGCAGAGTCTCCAGCCAGACACAGAGCAAGCAGGATGGGCAGTACAGAGTAATGGTAACCAAGTCACAAAGCAGAAAGTAAATTAATAGAAACAAGGCTAAACTATCAGCCGAGCTTTCATAATTAATAGTCTCTGTGTCATTCTCTGTGAGCTGGTGGCCCTAAAAGAAAAATCCATCTACAAAGAATAAATAAAAAGTAAGTTAATTAAAAAAAAAAACATGGATAAGGAATTGACTGTGGTAAAGCCTTTCATATGATCACAGTATCTGTTAAGAACAGTGTGAGATATGAGTCCCTGGGTCTATTGAAATCAGGTCTTTCTGCACAGAATAAAACAGATGAGGCTTCAGTTGTTGAAAACTTTCCTAGTCAAGTACCGGCAACAATTCCTTCCATTTCAGTTTGATGGCGTACCTTCAGCCGATATGTATGGCGGAACAACTGCACACACATACAGCACTCCTAAGGATTCTCACCAGTGTGAGTTTGGTGGTGAGATGACAACTGTGACTTGCGCAGGAAGCCTTTCCCACATTTGTGACAGACAAAAGGTTTTTCACTACTGTGAGTTCTACGATGTACTTGCAAAGAAGATCTGCCACTGAAAGCTTTCCCACATTCAATGCACACGTATGGTTTCTCACCTGTGTGGATTCTCTGATGCTCATTCAGTTGGGCTTTAGATGACATGGCTTTCCCACAGTCACTGCAAGTGTAAGGCCTCTCCCCAGTGTGAATTCTCTGATGTGTGCTGAGAACTGAACTGTGGCTGAAGGCCTTCCCACAATCAGAGCATATGTAAGGCTTCTCACCAGTGTGTATTCGATTGTGTACTTTAAGGTGGGATTTTCTTCTGAAGGATTTCCCACAGTCACAGCACGTGTAAGGTTTCTCACCAGTGTGAATTCGATGATGCACAGGCAGGTGGGACTTGTTACTGAACAACTTCCCACAGTCAGGGCACTCATAAGGCTTCTCCCCTGTGTGAGACCGACTGTGCTTCTTCAGATCTGACGCATAAACAAACAATTCCCCACAGTGGCTACACATGTAAGGCTTCTCCCCAGTGTGAATTCTCTCATGTGTGCTGAGGACTGATTTTTGGCTAAAGGCCTTCCCACAGTCAGAACACACGTAAGGTCTCTCACCTGTGTGTATTCGAAGATGTACCTTTAGGTGGGATGCATAGCTGAATGATTTCCCACAGTCATGGCATTTGTAAGGTTTTTCCTTTGTGTGGACTTCACGAGACACCTGCAGGCTGGATGTACTTGTAAGTGATTTTGCACAGTCAGGACATTCAGAAGGTGTCTCTCCTCTGTTTGTTCCTGGATGAGAACTCAACTCATATTTCTGAAGGAAGGATTTTCCACATATGTGACAAATAAAAGGTGTCTCGATAGTGTTGGTTATTTGCTGCTGACACAAAGCTGACTTAGCAGTGGAGACTTTCCCATATTTGGTATATGCAACCGGCTTGTCCTGAGAAGGAATTTCATGCTGTCTAAGTGGCTGCCTAGGGCTGAGAACTTTCCCCAGCTCTTTACCTTTGCATGTTTTCTCTTCTCTGTTAGGAACTGTGCACACAGCATTAGAAGGGCCTTGTATGAAGAACTGACAGGATTCAACAATGCCATTAGACTGCTTTGGGGCACTGCTTTGATGTTCACTATTTGCTTGAAGGTTAGGGTTAGGCTGCAAAGTTTTTTCAAATGAGCAACATTTTGGAGATCTGTTTTGTGTAGAAATGAGGTGGAGGCCTAAAGGTATATATCCCCCGGTGGCTTCACACTCATAACTATTGTCACTTATCAGTGTTTTCTGGTTGAAGAAAGTACCAGAACTCAAGAGTGGGATCTGGTTTTGCTGATCTGTCTTTGCAGGGTCACCATCCTGCCACAGTTCCTCTACAACAGAACGTCTAGTGATTTCTCTTGATACATCATTTGGAAATGCAGCTTTCACACAAATTTGATGTGGTGAGCCATGCTCTGATTCCCCTGTTAAGAGAAGAGATGAAGGAACAGACACAGTGAGCATGATGAAGGAGGAATCAGTCCGAACAAAAATCTGTGTCAGGTAGTAATGATGCTAATGATGGTGACAAGGGCGAGAAATGCTACCATGGCCCTCATAGTATGCCAACACTTAGGTAATACAGCATCCATATGTGCCAGGCAACTATCTATGCTGGTGTATGAATCTAGCACTCACTGTATCCAGGGTAAACATTAGAATGAATAGTTTTCACTGTATCCTGGGTAAATATTACAGTGAACAGTTGTTTTCTAGAAGTGTCATTATGGAAAACAGTGATTGTTTTTCATGATTTGTAGAACTGTTTTTCTGAGGGGGCATTATAGCCTTCACATGACTTTGGTCACAAGATGCTTCCACACACCCCCGGCTCTTGGACTATTGGGCACTGCAAAAGGTACACAATAAGGACTAAAGCAGTGGGGACATGATGCTTTCCTTCAGAGAAACATGAATTAGAGTAAGGACTTTGGTGTGAGGAACTTGTTTACCCAACAAACAACTTTGTGCAACAATATGCCTGTGTGCCGTTCAGGGTTCAGTTCATCAGAGGCTGGTCCTTCCTGCTGCCACACAGGCCTTAAATTTTCATCTTGGAGTGACGTCTTTCTTCGACGAACTCACACAACACAGAGCACCTGACACTACGACGTGAATACATGAGCTCACTTAATCCCCACAACCATCCCACAATGCATCTGCACCTCCACTCCTTCTTTTCCCCATGAGGAAACCGAAGCATTGGTCAGTAGCCAAGATGACTTAGATAATTTGTTGGGAAGACTTGGTTTGGTGAAAGACAACCAACTTAGGCAGGAGGCCTGTGCTATAGATACAGAAAGATAAATAAGGAAGGGAGGAGACAGCCACGGCTTCACTGGCACTGTCAATGGGCAGCCGGCGTCGTCAGAAGAAAGGGATGTAGGCAGAAACTTCATTAGCTCTAGAGAAAAAATGGCCTGACCATTTTTTTTGTTACATTTTTTCTTTCCCTCTGTTTGTAAGGATTAGCTACATTCTTCAGCCCGGTTCCACGAGCCCTCCCTCTGAACTTTACATCCCTAAATGTTTATTTTTTGTAACTTATTGATCTGTGTAATGTTTGTGTTCACGGGTATACATCTGTTTACTCATGCATGTGGAGGGGGCCAAAGGCTCAGTGCCTTCTTCACTCACTTTCAACCTTATTTTTTGAGGCAAGGTCCATCACTGAATCTAGAAATCACCAATTCAGCTAGACTGGATGCTAGAAAGGCTCTGTGCTCCCTCTGTCGCTGCCAACCGAGCACTGGGATCACAGGAGTGCACCACTGTGCTCGGTTTTTGATGTGAGTGTTAGGGATTAAGCCTGGGTCCTCACACTGCAGAACAAGCCCTTTACCACCCACCGAGCCACCTGCCCCGACTGCCCTACTTCTGTTCTTTCGAAGTGTGTACATGATTCCTGTGTGACTTGTGTGTATGGGTGTGTTAGCCTGTGTGCTCACTTGTGGAGGCAGAGGTGGACTTTAAGTATCTTTCTCTTACGGTTCTCCAACTTCTTGTGTGTGGTATTTGTATGGCCCACCTTTGCATGTACATGTGGAAGCCAGAGATCAACTTTGGATAGCTCTCTCTATTGCTTTCCATTAATTAATTAATTTAGCTAGTTAGTTTCTGAGACAGAGTGTCTCACTGACTCGAGAGTTCACTCTTTCCGCTGGCCTGGCCATCAGGCCACGGACAGCTTACCACTAGTGCTCGAGTTACAGGGACACAGGCTTTTATTTGGGAGCTAGGGACACACACTCAGCTCCTTCTCACTGCACAGTAATCATGTTACTCACTGAAGCATCTCACCAGCTACAACCACCTTATTGTCTTTGAGACATGCTCACTGAACTTAGAGGATACTATTTTGGCTAGACTGGCTGGTAGACCTAGAAACTGCCTATTGTCTTCCCATTCCCATCCCTTAGTACGGGAGTAACAAACTTTTAAATACAAACTTCACACACTACTGTCTTCACTTTTCTTTTTGATACTATACTGTCAATCCTTCAGCATCCATCTGCAAGATAATGAACTTTGCACCACAAGGATTCTGAAAAGCTTCTCCATAAGTTGCCAATATTGGGCTGAAAAGATGGCTTAGTGGTTAAGAGCACTTGCTGCTCTTGCAGAAGACCCAAGTTTGGTTCCCAGCACCCACATGACCACTCACAACCATATGTAACTCCAGTTCCAGAGGATTTAACACTCTTTTATGGCTCTGCAAGCACCATGCCCACACATGGTACCCAGGCATACATGCAGGCAAAGCACTCATACATATAAAATAAATACATCTTTAGAATAAATTTTATTTCTCCACTATATCTCAATAACCTCAATATAAAAACGGTCAGGTACTCCTACCTCTGAGCATTTACTCATATCCTTTAACTCAGTGGCTCTCACTGTGGGTCATGACTCCTTTTGGGGGCTTGAATGACCCTTTCACAGGGGTCACATATCAGATATTTACATTATGATCCATAACAGTAGCAAAATCACAGTTACAAAGTATCAACATAAATAATTTTATGGTTGGGGGTCACCACAACATAAAGAACTGTATTAAAGGGTCCCAACATTAGGAAGGTTGAGAACCACTGCTCTAAATTAACTAAGTTTACTTGGTCTCGTCCTTTATTCCAGTTCAAAATTACTTCATGAATAACCAGTGCATGTGCCCTCAAAATCAACTCCCATGTCCTCTCCCATTTAGGGAGTTCCAAGAGCAGTTACTCTACACGCTCAGGGTGACAGCTGCATTCCAAGCAGCTTTCTCTCAATCACACAGGACAAAGGCACTAAGGATGCTTTCCTGATTCTCATGCCATTACACCACACCATCCATTACAACCTGTTTCCTTCCATTTACTTTGGCAGACACTGAAAAATCTTCTAAAATAGGGAAAATGGTCTCTTTCACTTATCTTTGGAAATTCAGTACATATAATTCTTTATTAGCTGAAACTGCTGTCCACGGGGCTTAACTTGGATGCAACAACAAAACAAACAAAAAATGGAGAAGACAATCTAATCAACAGATTGTATGCAATGGGGAAGAGCGGCAGAGCAGACATTAACAGAGACCTAGCTACACCTGGCTCAGAGCATGAGTAAGAAAAATACTCGGAGAGATTTGCAAATTGGAAATATATGACTACCAGAAGAGCTGGTGAATTCTACATCATACAAAATAATTGAATATTTGCATCAAATCTATCAGGAAGAAGAGAAAGAAAATAGAAATGTTTGCTCTAAAAAACCTGTTGATAGAATCTTAACTGAATTCCTAAGTGAAATCCAAAAATCTCATTAGGAACAAAGAGTCTAAGGAAATAGGGAATTAGTTTGAACTGATCTTAGCAGGATTAAGAAACAGTCATGTACACTGTATACTGGAAAATAAGAATGAGCAGGCACTGTGAAGTAGTAACTCAAGGACAAGAGCCAAGAAACTACAGTTTCTCATAGGAAAGCACTTTCTAACTTGGATGATGATGACTCTAGTTTCTCATGTCTCAAAAATAAGGAAGGGGCCATCCACAGGACCAGTCCTCCAAATAGCTAGACATGGCAGCAGGTTTACCATACAGAGAGACTGCAGAGGCTAACACAGAAATCGCCACAATTCAAATGTGAGGCCTGTCCTGGTTTCATTTCGACTGCTGTGATAAAATACCCTGACATGGAGCAATTTAGGGGAAAAGGACTTATTTTACCTTGCCATTCTAGGTTATAGTCCATCATTTCCGGGAATTCAAGGTGGTGGGAGACTGAAGCAATTGGTCGCATCACAGGCACAGTGAACAGAAGAGAAAGGCTGAATACATGCACACCTATTGCTCAGCTCACTGTCTGTGCTCCTACATTGGATGACCCAACTACAGGGAACGGCGTTGCACACAGAGCCGGGTCTTCCCACATCGATGAATGGAATCCCCAGAGACGCCCACAGGCCAATCTAATGTAGACAATTCCTCATCAAGACTCCTTCCAGTGGTTCTGCATTGTATCAACTCGACAACACTAGCCACAGGAGGACCAAGAGATGAGAACAGCACGTCTCTAAGAGGCAGCTCCTGTAAGAAAGTCGACTGGACCCACAAGATGGCTCGGGGGTAAAGGTGCTTGCTGTCAAGCCCGATGATCTGAGTTTGATCTCTAGGACAGAACTGACTCCCTGCAGGTCGCCCTCAGACCTCCACAGGGGTGAGTGGAATGTGTACACCCAGGAACATAAATATATACAGAAATGTAGTAAGAAATGATTGCAGGAGAACATATAAAACAGGAATACGGTGGTGCTAAATTAGGAGGACACAAAAGAAGAGCCAGGACGAAAAAGGACACTGATGAAGGGATAAATAAATGGGGTGAGAGAATTAGAAAACCACAAAGTGACAAAACATACAAAAGGTAATATATACATAGACAATCTGGTTACAAAACAGATAGAAAGAGATGCTCTAAATAGTTATGAAAAGATATCACAGGAGGGCCTGGAGCGATGGCCCAGTGGTTAAGAGTGCCTGCTGCTCTTCCAGAGGTCCTGAGTTCAGTTCCCAGCACCCACATGGGTGCTCATAACCACCTGTAACTCTAGTACTCTTCAGGCCTCTTCTACTGCGTGCGCGTGCATACATACACACACATACACACACACACACACACACACACACACACACACACACACACACACACTCTAAAATTTTTTTTACTCACTGCACAAGCAATACATAAACCACACTGATAATGTCAACTGTTGACAGTTAAGATGCACAAACAGAAATCCATGTGTGATTTCTTCACGTTTCATGACATGCAAACATAGACTATGAATTTGTACAGACCGTTAAGCAAATATCCAGTAACCACCTTTCTGTCCCTATTAAAGACTCCTAACAAAATGTAGTACGGTGTTTACTATGAAAACCGGGAGTAAAGGGCAATCTGGGTGCCCACTCCTGAGGGGATAAGCAGGTCAGTAGGCTGATTACACCTCTCAACTATCTACCTCCACCTGACAATAGTCACTCACCTTGACACTGACACCTCTGACGTGGGAAATGAACTTCCTTCATCCTGAGGATGGCCTCTGGCCTGGGATACCCTGCGAATTGGAAGGATACTGGATTTGTTACATCTTCTTAGAGGGTAGCCAATGAACTCTGTACTGGCTAACTGCAAAAGTCAACATTAAGTACTGCATGCAAAGTAACACATAAAAGGTGCCCAACAGGAGTGAAGTCAGAACAAAACCACCTAGAAATTAGGACAGATTTCTGATATTCCACCAAGTTTTGCAAAGAGAAAAATATGAGGCCCATCCTGGACCCCCAGGCCAGCTGTGCTCACCCACTGCCAAGAGGTGACTGTAGATCTCCAGCATCACATCCTGGTACAAGTGTCTCTGGGCAGAGTTCAGCTGCTGCCACTCCTCCTGGCTGAAGTCCACAGTCACATCCTCAAAGGATACCAATCTCTGTAATAACAGAAAGATACAATAAGTAACCATGTGTTTTTAGTAATTCCTCACCCCCCAGGAAGTTCCATTTAAATTTTCCACAAAAATACTGATTTCACATTTTACATTCAGGCATAAAGACAGTATATAGAAATACCCTGCCATGTGACGTCTCACTCACCCCCACCCTCATGAAGGACAGAATTTCTCTACCAAATTTAAGCAGGATGACAGCTACTAAGCCACATTATGCTTGCCTAGAGCTGTGTGGGGTTCCTGCAGTTCAGCACCCCAGTATGAGCTTCCACTCTTGGAAAAACTCAGACTGGTAAAGCAACAAAGACTCAGCACGGGCTAACGAGAAGAGTTTACGAATCTACACCAAGAAAAGGTTGGGAGGGAAATTAAGGAATGGCTGTCATGCTCTGTAGAGCACAGCGGCTTGAACTGTAAACGAGGTGCTTGAAATAGAACACCATTTTCCAAGAAGGAACGAGAGTCAAAGTGGAGAGGCGGGAAAATCCACAGTGAATTTAGGGAGCAACAGGGGGCTCTGTGCGAGGTTCAGAAGTAATAAAAACCCACCAGCTAGACACAACTGGGTGGGGGACGATTTGGAGACACAGCTTTCACAAACCATCTTCCATGCTAGAGATCAGTAACACAACTGCCCAAACTGTTCATGCCTCTGGAGGCCACTCCTCATCTGCGATCCCATAATGAAGCCAAAATAACCTCTGGTTCACCGAGCTAGACTTGGGTGCACCCACTTCTTTGTCCTGCCAGTCCTCTCCTGACAGAGAGGTTGAACAGAAACCGGGCTCCCGAGGACGTCATACAGACGGGCAGATAAACCTAAACCCAAGAAGCAGCACAACGTACATGACGCAAGAAGATGAGGAAATGAGAATCAAGGTCGCCTCAGGAACACAGCTTACAATCTGGAACTTCCAAAGTCTACACTCTAGTTCTGGGGCACCTCTCCTCACCTCACATGACCCCTCCTGCTCCTCTGCTTCCAGTCTCTGGGGCTTCTGGCAGAAATTCATGTCGGTCAACATGTCCTCCGTGGTGTCTACTCTTGGTCTCGGCTCTCCTCAGGATTCGGGTGAGCATGTGGAGCCGCTGAGTAGAGCTGACGAGCAGAACTCAGCTTGGTTGTCCTAGAAAATCAGCAGCACGGATGACTTGGCCTGACCCAGGGATCTACAAAGACACAGAAAGTCCTGGAAAGTGAGTGACTGTGGGACACTCACCCAACATTTGCATGTGAAGTTTTAGCCCTACCTGACAGGCATCATACAAACATTACAGAGTGGTGGACAAGGTTAAGAAAATGCCAACTCTTTTTTTTTTCCCCTTTTCTTTTTTTTGACCAAGGTTTCTCTATGTATCTCTGGCTGTCCAAGAACTCACTCTGTAGACCAAGATGGCCTTGAACTCAGAGATCAGCCTGCCTCTGCCTCCTGAGTGCTGGGATTAAAGGTGTGTACCACCATGCCTGGCTCAATTCTTAATTTTACGAAGATCCAGAAAACAAACAAAAAGATCACAGTTTTGAACAAAGGGTTATAAAGAATTCACTGCAGATTTCCCACCCTTTAACTGTGAGAAGAGAGGATATTAAGCAACGTGAAGTTTCCAAAGGAAGATGCAGGTGTTCATAGGCATTGGGGATCAAGTCCTTCCGCCTGTCTGGCAGTGAAGGAAATACAAATAAAAGAATATTCTTTCTGTTTAGTGGCATTCTATCCTACTTCAGACTTCTCATTTACAGTTAAGCCGCTGTGCTCTATGGAGAATAACAGCTGCTCCTTTATTTGTCCTGCCTAACATTTTGTGTATATTGGTAAAAATGCTCCTTTTTAGCCCCTACTGAGTCTTTCCCTTTGCTATTTTACATGTCTGATCCAAGTTGACTCCCAGCACCCACGTCGGTGGCCCACAACCAACTGTCACTCAAGCTCCACGAGGATCTGAAGCCTTGGGCCTCCACGTGCACCTGCACTTACCACACAATCACGATGAAAAGTTGAAAGAAATTTGACTAGAAGTCAGCAAGTGCCAACTCCATTTTATTTAATTTTCACTCAATACTCTCAACTGTATGTCACAAGCATTAGTGTACCTGGTTTTTTAAGAGGTGAATGAGGCTGTGTGCAGCGTTCCATAATTGGACTCAAGGTCACTAAGTACAAGTGCAGGGGATGAATCTCTCTCCTGCCTCACACCATTCCTGTTATCATGAGGCAGATGAGAAAGACAATTATGGTGACATGGGAAGGAAGGCATGGGAGGGGAAAAGAGACCTCACGCTTTGTGCTGTGGAAGATGGGAAACTTCAGGTGCTACTGAAGCCCAAATGTGTTTTCAAAAGGCATCCAGGCAAAGACAGCACATTCAGTTTTGCTTACTGAGGGCCAGAGAACACATTCCTAAAGACACCTCCTAAGAAAGTAAATCTGATGGTTCGTCTTCAAAATCAAAGCACCCTGAATCAGCTTAGCTCCAGCTATAAATGGACAAAAACCATCAGACCGACTCCTGCTAGTGTCTGCTACCTACTCCCCTCCAAAAAAAAAAAAAAAAAAAAAAAATCCTTAAATATGCAGAGTAGAAAATGACTAACAGCCAAGTTCTCCTAACAGCGACCTGCATTCATGACAAGGTTATACACCTAATAGCTTTAAAATAATCAAGAAGTGAAATGTAGAAATGAAACCACGGGAGGTTTTTGTTGAGAAACGGAAGAAGAAAAGTAGCAGTGGGAGGGACAAGATTTCATACAACTGTGTCCTCCTGATTATTTAGCCAATCAGGACAAAGAAACTTTAATTTTCTGGGACCTTCAATTTACACGACACTCCTGTAACCCAGAACTCAGGAGGCAGAAGCAGGAGGATCACTGCCAAGTTTGAGGCTGACCTGGTCTACTTAAGGAGATCTTCACTCTGGCTTAGACTTCTGCTTGGCCATCTCTATCCAACCTACACTATCCCAGGAACCCGCCTGACTCCATTTTGAAGGCAAGAACCATTATGCTGTATTGTTAAATACAAGTTTCTGTTTCTCGGAACCTGACCTGCCCCAACTCATGACTTTGACTTGTTTTTGGGAACACTCAGCCCCATAACACCAGGCTGACCACATGGTGATGGCTAATGTTTTTTTGAGATTATTCTGTAATTCCTTACTGTTCCATTGTCTTAGGTAAACCTGCTTTGCAAGCCTGGCCATGGTGGTGCATGCCTTTAACCCCAGCACTCAGAAGGCAGATCTCTGTGAATTCATTTCTGTGAATTTGAGGCCAGCCTGGCTTACAGAACGAGTTCCAGGATAGCCAGGAAACAGCTACACGGAAAAACCCTGTCTTGAAAAACCAAAAATAAATAAATAAAATAAATCTGCTTTGCAACTACTCACAATTTTACTCCTTAAAAGGGCCCTAAGAAAAGGACTCAGGGCTGCTCTCTTTAACCCTACTTAGGAGGCAGTCGCTGGTCAGTTCTTGGGTATACCCCCAATAAAAATCAAGCTTGCTTCAAATTTGACTCAAAATTTTGGAAGTGGTCTTACTGTCTCCTGGTAGGATTAATACATCCCCCTTCAAGGCCCAAAGATGCAGTCATCTTCAATTCCAGAAACTGTAAAGCCTCCGAGAACAGACCGCTCCCAGAGGAGGGCAATTAGGCATGAGGATGAGGCTTCACTGTACAGCAGAAATAAACACCAAGGAGGAAACAGATTGGTCTCTTTGGGCTGAGGACAAGGAACAGATTAAAAATGTAAGGAACATTCTGAAGGACTGGGCTCAAAAAAAGACAGGCAGGACCACACACACCACGCCCAGGACTTCTTAATCATCTGTGTACACAGGTCAAAACAAAAAAGGATGTAGGCTATGTAGCCCTCCTGCTACACTAAGCAGCCTCCACTTTCAGGGATCCCGCTGGTACTACCTCCAAAGGGTAGTCAGGAGCCTCCAAAGGGGAGTCAGGAGCCACCACATCCTGCCAGATAACTTAATTATGCAAACCTCCTGACCAGCAATCCCAAACCTCTGTGTCACTACAACAGACTGCGGTCACTGGGTTCTTTACCTCTTCTTCTGCCTGATGTGGCTAATTTGAAGAAACGGAATTCCCCCCGTCTCTCTGCTTTCCACCATGACTGACTAGTCTTTTCAATAGGGGTTCCTGACCATGGTTAATCAGTTGAGGCGGCAGGAAAGCACTTAACCCTAACACCTGTTTACAACACCAGGCTGCTCAACAGCTGATCACAGAGCCTTGCCACGTCCATAGGGTCCTAAAGCCAGGCCAGCACGGACCAACCTACACACTTTCAAGGACCCCAATACTCAAAACTGGCCACAGGAATTACAAGTTTTAATTTTTTTCTTTCCCAGCACCAGCTCCCTGCGGGAAATATAAGGCGATGAGGGAAATGGCCCGAAGCCATGGTCCCTGCACAAAGGCTCCTCTCCTAGCTCTGCTCCCTGGAGCCCACAGCTGCGAGCTCGCGCAGACTGTACCATCCCTTTTATCAGTTCTTGACACTGCTTAGGCTTGGGCAGACCGAGAAAACTGCAGCCTGGGTGTAAGTCAAAACCGTGAATAAACTCATTTTCTACTTTCATCTACTTTTTCTCCTCTCGCAGACAGACTCAAGCCAGTCACCGGCTATGCAAACACTCCCAGTACAGAAAGCGGCGCGGTCGCCCTCAGACACACACCAGCCCCAAGCTCACAACAGCAGGCTCCATCGCCGCCCTCAGCAAGCCAGCTCTCCCGACTCCTACAGGACGCCCAGCCCAGTTCAACCCCGGCATGCCCCAGCAGCCTTCTCAGCCGCCACTCCGCACAAACCAGCGCTCAGCAGCACAGCATCCTTCCTGCGCCGCCGCCGCCGCTCACCTCACACGGCACCGCAGAGAACTCTGCACACGGCTCGCCGGGGCCGCGACTTCCGCCCACGGACCCTCGGGATTCCCCAGGTTCCCAATCCAAACTCCCACGGCGTCCTGGTAACGATAACAACAACTAACCACGTGAAGATCTAAGCGGAAATGGATACTCTAGGACACTTCTGGTCACACCTCAGCCTCCTCCCCGCCCCGGCGGAAGTCGGTATTGCGCGTTGCCACTACTGCTTGCCAAGTTACAAAGTAGTGTTGCGCATGCCCACCACCACGTGAGAGGTTATGTTTTGCCAATAGTTATAATGGTGTACGTTCTGGTTCTCTTTCCCCTCTGCCCCCCGCCCCAGACGTTGTCATGGCCACGTCCATATTCCAATGATGCGAAAGTCACCATCAGAATACACATTCCCGAACATCCTTGAGTCATGTGGAATGTCACAGACTTTAAAAGTCTGAATCTGTCACACATCGTCAGGAGATTTATTTTCTACGTGGGTGGGTATACACGTATCTAAGAGACAGTGATATTGCATATTCCTAAAGTTTCTCTGTATTTTCACACGGACTTAAGGCTTGCTTTCTTTTTCCTCTGATTTTCTAAAATTTGAAAAGTTGGAAGGGTTATTGGGAAACAGGAAGTGAATCACTGGGGAACATTGAAGTCTGAAATGAACCTTGTACACCATCCTGGGAACATGTCATGGTTCCCTGAGGAAAAACATCTATCCTCATTTAGAAGTGTAACAACAAAACAAACAGTGCATAATAGAAACAGTGTAGAACAGGCTGGTGAGGAGCAAATTGCGGAGACGCCAGTCAAATAACGAAAATACCCAGAACAGTAGAATGAATGTCGATATTCCTAATGAGAACTCTAGAAGGGGACTCCCGCAGAACAGGGGCTCCCTCTCAGAACCTGGACTAGGCACAAACCACACCCAAACACCTGTTTTCACTGAGAGCTTCTTTATTAAGCAGGGAAGAAGAGTTAAAGTGGCTGCTCTCTGACTCAGGCAGAAAAACAGCAGCAAATGACTTTCAGGTGCAATTTTAAGAGGAGAAGAGAGGGGCGGGAGGTCTGGGTTAGATGGACATGATGCAGTAGTAGAGGAGATAGAGGACGGGGAGAAGGGGAAAGGAACAAGGGAAAGAGGGCAGGGGTATTTGTCTAGTGGGAGAGGGAGGCACGGCCACGACAAAGGACGGCCTCTGGATAGAGAGGAGACAGAGGTAAAGGGGGAAACCGGTGTTAGGATGAAGTGTGTAATTTTAATTGGCATGTTAGTGAACCAAAGGGGGCTCTGATTGCTGGACTTCAGTTCTTTGATAGCTGGACCCTGGTAGTCCGCCTTGGCAGGAGGGATTGGCCAAATAAATCGTCCTTGGTAGCTAGCTTTAGGAATGTAATCTGGTGGATTTTGGCAAAGCAGAGGGAATGAGAGAAGGGTAAGGCCCGGCAGAGCCACATGCTCAGGTGGGCTAGCGTCCTTTCAACTCCAGCCCTGGCTGACCTGGACTATTTAGATGGATCTTCTGCACCTATTCTCCAAGTGTGGGATTATGGGCATGTGCCACTTATGCCCACCTCCACAGATGGTCGTGCTCTTTCCTCTGAGAACAGACCACAGGAGTGTGAGCAGAACTTTAGGGCCAAAGGTTCCTGTCCTCCTATAAGATTAGGCTTGGTCATTGGACCTCAGTCAGCCCAAGCCAAAGCAGTGCCAGGATTGCTAGAAGGGGTGGGACTGTGAGGTACATGTATGGAAATGTAGTTGTGGGCTCCAGGCACCCCACCCAGTCATTTATATGTGATTTGTTCTTGATTGCATATGGATGGGAGTGGGGTGAGGGGTACTTGTCCCCTAGCGCTTTTAGATTGGAAAGAGAGAACAGAGGAGAACAACTCTATTCAATAAAGGGAAACCGGTCATTCATGCTGGGTGAACACTTCTGCACAACTGCTGTGGGTCCCACTGCTCCCGGAGCCCCTCGCTCATGCTCTCTAAGTAAGTCCAACAAACTCATTGGTTCCCCAGGTTGAACACTGGTGGAACTGTACTTTGTTTGTTGTTAGGACCCTATAAGGATGGGGTAGACATTGTTTATATCTCCCCGGGAAGGAATTCTGGCAATACCTATGCGTATTGGTCGTCCTAACACACAGCTCAGCAAAGCTGGCAATCATAAGCCCCACGTTATGGACAAGAACTCATTTCAAGTTGCTCACTAGGGAAAATGATCAGCTCATCGCTGGTATTACCAGATGGGTTGGAGGAGATGAGGTTAGAAGGCAGGACACCTCCTGAAGACAACTACCAGCTTCACAAAGGTAGCATGACATCGAGATGCTTTTCACAGTGTCTTCACCTCTCTGGTGTCTTTAGAAGTCAATAGGTTTTCTGTATCTCCATCAACACAGTAAGCCAGATCTAGCCAAATTACAAAAGTAAAAGACCGGGTTTATTTTGGGTAAAGCAACTCCCAGGTGAGTCCTCTAGTCCCCAGAGAAGAGGAGGAGAAGAGGGAGGAGAAAAATCACGTGGTCAAACTAGGAAAGAACTTAAATACCCTGTAGGTGAGGAGTGATGGAACATCCTCCATAAATTGGGTTTGTCCCTAATTACAACTCTTAGGCGGGGATTGAGCCACTGGCAGCTTCAAGGGAGGAGCCGCCACCAAGAGTGCGGAACTGGGCTTTTGGCAGCTTTTCTTGGTTGGAGACCCTCTGAGAGGGTGGGGTTTGGAGAGAGAGGAATGGGGCTTCCCTGATCAAGCAGGGGTGAGCTGGAGATTTCAGCTGAACACCAATCAGACCAGGCTGGGTGCAGGAGGAAGGAAGGAGTCCCATGGGTCCAGGGACAAAATTGAGAGGTTTTCAGTAGAAGGAGTGGTTCTGGTATAATTTCTTGATATAACTGTTGCTTATATATTAATTTCTCTACCAAAAACATCACCACTGAGTCTTGACCTCTTTTGTGTTCCTAAAAAAAATACAGGTAGAAGTTGAGAGAATGACTCCCTTGGTGGGCCAGTTCTCCTGCCCGAGAATGCCGCATTATGATCTGTAATCCAATCCATGCAGCTTCAACTGTGAGTATCAGTGAGGCAGACCTACTCAACTTCCCCATCACCTCAACCTACAATGCTAACCTGAAGGTGAGTTTTCTCCACTTCCAACCCTACCTCAGGATCTAGGAATGTGGCAAAATCCACAGGAAGTCTAGGAGAACCTGGAAGCACAAAGCCAAGGATATGGTGCAGGGAGAATATTCTGGTTATCTACTGCTACGTCTCCATAATCCACACTGAATCCTAATGTTTGGAGAGACTACCGCCTTTCTAATATTGTGCGGGTCAGGGATTTGGTGAGGGATTGGTGGAGTGGCTGTAATCTTGTGCGGGTCAGGGATTTGGTGAGGGATTGGTGGAGTGGCTGTAATCTTGGTTTTCCATGCAGCTGATGAGGAGCAACCGGAGTGCAAACACAAGAATGACACCTTGGGAACTGGTTCAATCTCTTTAAATAATATTCTTTTTAACGTTTTGAAATTAAATTTTAATTACAACATTCTCCCCCTTCCTTTTCCTCCCTCTAATCACCCTTGCGCTCTCTCTAATTAATGGCCTTTATTTCTCTAAGTGTGTGTGTGTGTGTGTGTGTGTGTGTGTGTGTGTGTGTGTGTGTTCCTAGATACATAAATACAACCTGCTCATTCCATATAATGTTACTTGTGTGAATACGATTTCAGGTCTGACCATTTAATATTGGATGACCAATCTGGGACTCTTGCTGGGGAAGACTTTCTCTTACTCTGAGCATTCCTTAGTTTCCTAAAGTTCTTTGTCTATAGTTGAAATTTGCCCTTCCTTGTTAAGCATTTATATTGGTATCCAGTCTTGGAAGTTTTTTTTTTTTTATCTTGTTTTTCATTTAAGACAAGGTCTCTCTAGCTCTGACTATCTTGGAACACATTATGTAGACCAGGCTGTTTTCTGACTCACAGGCATCTGCTTGCCTATGCCTCCCGAGTGCTGGGATTAAAGGCATGCACCACCACACTCAGTTTTGAGCTGATTCAATCTTGATGTCCATCATGTACATCTCAGGACCTCTCAACACAGTGTCTCTCTATAGGCTGCATTGGGTTTCCCATAGCTTACTGGCTTCAGCACAGACTTAATTATTATATGGCAGCTGAAGGATTCAAAAACAAGCATTCAGATACTGGAAAAATAGAACAGTGGTTAAGTGGCCTGGCTGTTCTTGCAGAGGACCTGTGTTCAGTTCCTAGCATCTACATGGTAGCTCACAACCATCTGGAACTCCAGTTCCAGGAAGTCTATAATGCCTTCTTCTGGCCTCCACAGGTGCTGTATAAACATTATGAACATATATACATGCAGGCAAAACACCTATATGTATAAAATTTAAATAGATTTAAAAAGAGAACAAACATTCAGATAAAGTAGAAGCCTTTACTTCTAAAGTAAAGGGGAAGTTGAGTAGGTCTGCCTCACTGATACTCACAGTTATTTTGTTTTTTTCGAGACAGAGTTTCTCTGTGTAGCTTTAGAGCCTGTCCTGGATCTCACTCTATAGACCAGGCTGGACTCGAACTCACTGAGATCCGCCGGGCTCTACCTCTCAAGTGCGGGGATTAAAGGTGTGCGCCACCACCGTCCGGCGCCTATGGCTTTTAATGTTGGATCTTAGTGACATAATGCTACTTCTGATATACTGAAACAAGGATAAAAGGCCACCCAACTGGGGATATAGACTCACTTTGCAACAGAATAGTCAAATTGACATTATAAGGACATGTTAGATGGAATACAGTGTTGTAGTAGTCTTTGGTAAAAAATATCATTTGGGCAAGAGAAGCCCAGCACTTGGGAGGTGGGGGCAGAAGAATCAGGAGTTCAATAGTGGGAAAGGTGAGAGACATGAGATACTGTCTCAAACAGTACAAAATAGAAAACCCATGGCTTCAGAGACAACTCAGTGGTTAAGAGCACTTGATGATCTTTCAGAGGACCTGGGTTCAATTCCCAGCTTCTACTGCATGCACATGGTGCACATACTAATACAGATATAGAAAAAAACACTCATATACATAAAA